TGCTAGCAGTTAGCATGGTTGATGGAGAAGCTTTATGAGGTAATGAGCTTCATGGGACCAAGTTCTAACATTCCTGTTAGAGGAACCAGAACCAGAACCACCTGATTAACAGCTCTGCTAACAGAACAAAGTCTCTCCCAGCTCTGGTTGGTGGATTAAACTAAAAACAGAGAGCTAGATCAATCATCGAAACGAAGTTAAATAGTCTGACGCTACGTCAGAGCGACATACTCTGTCTATCAATGATAGATCTACGTCTCTGTTAATTGGGAATCAGAAGTATTTTACATATATTCTTTTTTGTAAATTCAGCAACCTAAATAATATGTAGGAAAACTTTTTTTTGGTTTATCCATCAGTATTTAATGCAGTTGGCAAAATGAACCCTTAAAATATAATAACGTACTTTTTTTTTTCAATTCAGCAGATTATTTTTTCAAAAAGTAGTCCTTAATGTTATGAAAAGATCCTCTTCATATAAGAGAAAAGATTAATACATTTAGGATTAATTATTTAATAAATAACTCTATGTTCCTAGTGCTAACGCTTTAGAAATTACCGTAAAGCAGCAATAGTTTCTACTGAAGCATCTTTTCCTCCCGACTCTAAGACTTTAGCTTTAAAAACACACAATGACGCCCGTTTATAGTCATTTTAATGCAATACCTGATAGAAACAAAGCAAACAGGCTTAAAATAAAAACAAAATGCATCTGAGCATCTTACCTGCATGGTCATGTCGAAGTTAGAGGGTCGTCCATCTTCGCCTTTAATGAACATTTCCTTCGAGGCGTCAACCAAGAAGACCAGACTGTCTCTGCCTGAGACTTTATAATCTCCTGTCAGAGACAGAGATGTTGGAAATATTTCACCTTTTTTTTTTTACTAAGCCAAACCTAAATTCCTCAACATCTCTTTTTTTTTTTCTTCAATCCAACAAATGTTTTATCAGACATGGCTAGACTGTTTGCTACCACTATAAGGAATAAAGACATTTTTATTTAAAAAGAACATTCTGATCAAAAGAAAACAATAGAGGTAGAATACAAGAAATGGATTAGAGATGTTATTCAATATCACCATGAAACTGAGCTGTAAGAAGATGGGGGGTACATTTAAATTAAAAACATCGCCCTTGGTCGACAGATGATTGTATGAAAAAGAGGGAAAAAAAGCTCAAAAACTAAAGAAAAGAGGAAAAAAACTAAGGTTTAGGCTCAAGAAATTACAGAAAAATGTTACTTTAAAACAACAGAGAGATAAACTTTACTGTCCTACATGGAGAAATGGAGCAGCATAAATAAGAAGGAAGCAGAGGTGGAAAGTAACAGAGTACATTTACTTGATTTCTGTACTTAAGTAATTTTTTTTAAAGTATGCTTATTTTTGGGAGGATACTTATAACTTTCACTCCGCTGCATTTCCAGGAAGCCGTTTGTTCCTTTCAGCTCAGCTTAGCTTTTTAATCCACTGTTGATGTTTCTCTGTCTTGAAATGTAAATTCCATCATGGCAGATATCAGCCTTTAGGACTGAATCTGAATGCCACTGTTTTAGAGATTTAATGATACTCCACTGTGATGTGTTTATAATTTTATAAAGGCGTTTGTTGTTGCCATGTGGCCAATTTGTTCAGTAGGAGTTCTCAAAGCAGAATTACATTTTTATTTCAACCGTAAACCTCTATTCCATAGTTAAAGTGTGAGGAGAATCCAGCTCTCCTATTTTCCATTTTGTTTTGTAAAATACTGTCTTTATTTTTTATGTCACATTTTATCTTGAAGTTCTTTCCAGATGGTGTAGATTCTATAACAGGTGGTTCTATGCATCAATATATCAGGTGACTTCTGAAAGATACAGGTTCTTTAAAATTACTCTGGAAATTACATTTACTTGTAGTAACTTAAGATTTGCCTATGAGTATTAAGACTTTTACTCAAGAACTACTGTTGAGTACTTTGTCCAGTACTGGAGGGAAGGATCAATCCTGACTGTTTAAATCCATCCTACTCTGTTAGAAAGGCTGAGGCTGATGATATGATACGATGTAGGAACAATAAGGGGAGTGTTGGTCTAGTGCAGAGGTCACAGATTAGCGGGCCACGGCCCGGATCCGGACCCACCTGCTGGCTATTCCGGGCCCAATCTGATTTAAAACATGTATAAATTACTGAATGTTGTCAGACTTTGACCGCTTCTCCTGTTTGTACGGTAAAGCTGTCAGGGGCCAGGCTACACGTGATGCATATTAGTCAATGAGCTGTCAGTCAAGGCTGTTACGATGATGAGAAAACGGGGAAAAAAGTGTAGAACTGCGGTAAACAGGTGAAAGAATAGTGAAATGGCGTGCTCAAAGATGACCCTGCACATTTAGAGGATGTTTGGCTCAACCTGCTGCTGTGAAGCAGGATTCTCAACCATGAACAGAATCAAAAATTAATATGGATCCAGGTTCAGAATGAGCTCCTTGATATGTGCTTTAGAATGGCTTAGTCTCCATTCAAACCCAGGTTTAAAGCCTTGTAGTGCAGCATAAAGCCCACTGCCAACATTAAGACAGGAAAAAAGATTCAGGTGTTTTATAAAATATGTAAATCAGGAATTTGTCTATATACCAAACTGAACGACTGTTGTTCTCTACTTCAAGAAACACTTTAGATTTTAAAATGGAAAAATATTCTATTTTCTATATATAAAATTCAATGTATAATATGGATGCATAAATATCTAATTTTATTTCAGTGTTAAATTCTGTTTAAAGTAATGGATTATAATAAAAAATGTCTCTCCAGACTTTTACTGGTAGTTGTTTTTTCTTTATTCGGACCCTGTTGATTTTTAATTGGTTTCCCCTGGTCTAGTGGGTTAAAGGTTGCAAGGGCCCGGTTTGATCCCCACAGCCTCCACTCTGGGTTCCTGAGCAAGACCCCTAACCCCACACTGCTCCCCAGGTGCCGCACAATGGCAGCCCCCTGCTCCCCAAGGGGATGGTTAAATGCAGAGATAAATTTCACCAATGTGAGATCAATAAAGTTCTATTATTATTATTATTATTATTATTATTATTATGTGCCTTATAAAGTGGCCACATGTGGAAACAAAAAAAGTTTGCCTGGTTTTAGGGAAAAGTCTTGTTAGTATCTTTAGTAGCACATGAGAAAGAGTTATAAAGTCATTGTTAATGTGAGTGAATGGAGCAGGAATGAACCTGATGATTTACTGCAGCTCAGAGAAGCTGATTTACCTCCAGAAAGCTCAGCTTCCTCCTCTTCTTGACCCTCCTCCTCATTGTGGTAGAAGGCGTTCCACTCGGCCATTCTGCGGCTGTCAGCTCTGTAAGGGTGGTGATAGTTTGTCATTGGACTTTACATCCATGCTTTGTACGTAAACAGCGTATCTTACACAGAAACTTTGTATTCACGGTGCAGCGCGGTGCTTCCTTACTGAGCTATCCTGTAGCAAACTGCTCAATGAAAATAGCAAACACGCACAGTCTAACTAGCTTTATAAACTCTTACAAATCTATGATTTACTTATATCATTATTTCTTCACTCCGACCAACTTAAGACCAACAGTAACGCTAGCTAGCTTAGCTTGTCTTGACCCTGTATTATTATTATTTCCTGCCCGCTTTCCTAACACTTCTGTCTGTATATCGATGCCTTATTAATTTATGAGTTAAACTTAAAAACCAGAATAATAACAAAGTGGTTTTATCAACGCTTCACTTACCAACTCCGCAACTAAATATACAGTAAAGGCTGGATTCAGTGAGGAGCAAATGTAGGCGCGTTCAGTACGGAAGCTGGAAGTGGTCAAAACACTCTCTAGGCTTTTGGGGGGGAAAACAAACAAACAAAAGAAAAACAAATAAAACTTATGAATTTGACAGATTTATGGTCCACAAAATGTTTTTTTTTTTATTAATGATATATTGATAATGTCTAACATTATTTAATATCTAGAATGTTTTGATATAATTTAACTAAACTGCATTGTCACTAAACTTGCATTAGGATTACAATCTGTAGGATGTCTATATCCTGATTTAAATTATAAAGGTGCATTGCACAAGTTTTAAAAATGAATATATACATTTTTCTTTCCTCTACATGTCCTTGTTGTGTGCTCTTCAGGGGCAACAGTTTAAGAAGATGGATGACAAAAGTCCAGCCAAGAGTACAAAAGGAACTGGGATCTGTTCGGGTAATGGTGCTTTTTTAGATGAAAATGAAAGATGTTTTGTTTAAAAACATTACACTTCTACAATGGACTTCTGCAGTCACAGCTGCAGACTGTGGGGCTTCTCTTCTTTCATGCAGAACAAAAAGTAGTTTTATTTCAACATGGCTCCACAGGAAGCAAACATCTGCAAAAACTGTGTAACTTGTGCCATGCTCCTTTAAAATACCACGAATAAGTTAAAATGGCTTATTTTCAAGTTGTTTAGGAATGAATAAGTTAAAAGGAACTTTTTAAATAAAATTTTGTAACGTTATCAAAACAAATATTAGCAAATAATTTCACATTCTTAATTATTTGAAAATTGTATGCTTTATAAAGTTCAAAACACACATATATATATAAAATCAATAACATTTAGTTTGTCACTTTCAGCCGTCCATACTTTCACTTTAAGACAGGTCATACCTGATTGGTAGTTCCGCCACCGAGTCAAGATACTGACCAATCACAAGAAAGAGGGCGGGGTTTAATGTAGAGAATGCGGAGGCAGTTTTTGACAGTCATGTTATGGTTACATTAAGACGGTGACACAGCATTAACCAGCTTTTCACGGCTTCATAAAGCTGGAATTAGCAGGATTTTCCTTTTTTTAAATCACATTTTTACTCAGATTAGCTTTTTTTTTTTTTTTAATCGCCTCCACTTCCTGTCGCTCGCTCGTCCACCAGTCAGGAAACTTCGCTGTGGATTTATTATTCCTGTAGCATCATGGCCCAAAATAACTCATCTTTTCCCGTCAAACTTTACATTTACGATATATCCCGAGGAATGGCTCGTCAGCTAAGCGCTGCTATGCTAGGTGAGTTTAGCCTTAACTTAAATCTGATGAAAACAAATTAAAATGAACCAAAATGTAGATCGCTAATTATATACTATGTTGATTTTCTCAGGGAGACAGTTGGACGGAATATGGTGTGTGGACCTTTTATATGGCATATTTATTGAAAAGATTTTCATGTATTTCTGTTTTAAATCCACGTTTTGTTTCCACAGGCACACAGGTATTGTTGTCCACGGAAAGGAGTTCTTCTTCGGTGGAGCAGGAATCAGCCACTGCCCTCCTGTAAGCATCACTTCCACATTTCCAGCAGCGAATACATCAAATACTGTTTATTAGTGAAGGTTTAATGAGGCATCTTGAAGCGTTTGGACTTATTGACAAACTGGATTGATGCTGCGTTGATACTTTCTCGCAGAATACTGACACCTGCTGGACATTTAAAGACACTACAGGCAGCTTATTGGACAGGCTGAACTGAAGTGATTTGATAACCTAGAGCAATGATATTATTTAAGTTATTGTAGATAATATTCTGTAGTCTAGTTGTTAAAAAAAAATTGTTGAAGAATTACATAGCCTAATTAATATAGTCTATTAACTAGTGATGGGTATTGATACTGTGTCACTGAATACTGACACCTGCTGGACATTTAACAACACTACAGGCAGACTCAGTATAAATTAACAATGATTTGATTACATAAAATCATATTTAAATCCATTGTTTGCTTTAATGCATATTTAATATTTTCATTTAAACTGAAAATATGTGCCATATTTTCTGATTTTTGACAATCCATAAATTTGAACAGATAACTGGAAAATTTGAGTGAGCATATGGGACTAGGATTTATTTATTTAAGAAAATAACTACAGGAGCAACAGCAAACTAAGAGTCCATGTGAATTTGGATAAGCTGAGTGATAATTGAGAGGAAGAGGATGACATAAGAAGAAAATCAATTAAAATATGAGATCAGAATCATCCCTCTCAGCTAGAACTCCTCTTTTCCCCTGATTGAACTGCTCTGTCTGACACATTGCTGTTTTTTTCTTCTCTCAGATCAATTTTTCTCGATTAATTTGATGATAAAACGAAAAACATAATTTTTTTTTGGCAGATGTGTTGCGCTGACAGATGCGCTTATAAACACAGTTTAGTGAATCAGTCAGTTTGAAACAGCTCCTGTATCGGTAACGTGACTTTCTTGAAACGATACGCGCACCGATACAGTGTTTTGCTGTTGGAGATAGACACATGCACAGACGCATCAGTGTTGCAGGACCCATCACTACTATTAACCTAAAGCAATATGCATGGTATGTTTCCAAGTTTGAAGACGTTTCGCTTCCCATTCAGGAAGCTTTTTCAATTCAAAATGTCAGGAATGTCATTCACATTTCCCCCTAAATTTTCACGTTATGATATATGTTCATATTATTTATTGGCTGCATCGAAACATATCAAAGATATTTTCAATTTAAACATAGATATGGAATAATACAATATAATAAGTACTTGAGTTTAGGGGGGGTGAGGGGGGGCGGCATCCCCCTTCTTAAAACAAATCTAAAAAAAACCACCCTCCTTCTTAAATGACCATCCCCCCCATACCATCCCCTGTGACATTTTATTACTGAATGTGTAAAATTTATTTTATATACAGTAATTGCCACAATATTACTGCAATAAAATGTCAGGAATAGCGTTGAGTTTGAGCTTTTATACAGTAGCCCTATGGTAACCTCAAACTCAACGCTATTTCTGACATTTTGAATTATAAAAGCTTCCTGGATGGGAAGCAAAACATCTTTAAACTTGGAAACAAAGTCCAGTGGATTGTTTTAAATTTTTTTAGAATGACTATGACCTGGATGTCTAAGAACCTTCACCAGCATGCATGGTATTGTTGTTACATGTCTTCACCAAGGCACCTTCTAGTAGAACTGCAGTCAGTCTCTGGGCTGGCATGGCTGTCACTGCCCCTACATAGTTAGCATGGCTATCACTGCCTCTGCAGAGTTAGCATGGCTATCACTGCCCCTACAGAGTTAGCATGGCTATCACTGCCCCTACAGAGTTAGCATGGCTATCACTGCCCCTACA